GTAGTTGTTCAATAATGAAATTCATCCTCAAAAATACAACTTGCCTAATAATTGTGCACGCAGTGTACATGACATAAGGCCTGGATATCTCAGTGACCGCTTTCTCAGAGTTGAATCTGGCAATCCAGTAAAATGATGGACGGTGGGATTGCTGAGGATCCCACTACTGAAGGAATACCATATTTGGAGACCTTAGGCTTGAGCCTTTCAGCGATATCTCCTCTCCTTTGGAACTGCTTACCCTCAGATACCCAGATCATTCCCTCCTTGCTGAATTTTTGGAGAGCTATAAAAACTTGGGTCTTCAGAAAAGCATTGGAAATAAGTAATATCATGATGTCACATCAGATTTATTATATTGATTGATTTGTTTCATGTTATATTAATACTGCAAGCCACTCAGAATTATCGGAATTTGAGTGCTGTAATTTGTGTTTAATCAAAAGCTTTCTACCTGCAGCTTCAACCTGTTAGGGATACTCATCCAGCCATGTTTTACAGAATTAATTTGCAAGGAAACCTTTGATGAATGTGGCTTACTGATGGGTAAACGTTGTAGAATGTCCCTCAATGTGGTATCTGTGAACACCAATATGTTTACAGTCCTTTATCTTGGCACCCTCTGTATTTCATGCTCCACCTGATTTTATTGGTTTGTGAGTGATTATGCCATTATGGCAGCCATTTTTTGAACTGGCATACTATTCCCCCATGGGGCTCATGCTCTCAGAATACCTCATATGCCCAATGGTAAAAAATGTTAGAGCTCTCTTTCTGAAGGATCTTGGAATGCTTTTTAATAAAGAGATCACATCATTGCTGTGTTGTTTTGACTTGCTTCTACCTAATTACAGAATAGTGCTGCAAACCTTTAAAAGCTTTCATGTGGAAGTTACCATTTTGTTTTTACTGAACAGTTACCAGGTCCTTTGGCAGTACTTCTGATAAGGATGACCAGATTTACAAAAGTGAAAACAGCAAGTCCTTAATGATTAAATTTACATATTTATTAAAGTTTATTTGATAACTCAATTTCCCAAGAGTTGCAGATAAAAATAAAAAAATAAAAAGTCTGGAAGCTAGTATTTGAAAGGGCTTCTCTATAACAAAACCACGTTCAATTATTCCAAACATTTCTTGTCTCTATTGTATTATTATGTTGTGTGGAAATGATTTTCAGGTAAAATGTTAATGTATGACTAACTTAATGTATGACTAATGTAAGTTAATGTATGACTAAGAAGCAATACATTTCTGTATGTTGGGAAATGGAGAACAGAGTAGAAATTCTCTACCACCGTATCCTATTCCACCAGGAGGTATCCCCAGACTTGATGAATGAAAGCAAACTCAGTAATTTTAAGAGTCTGTTACTGGATTCATTTTTATG